GGAAAAAAGAAGTTCACTTGATTCAAAAGACAAGTCATGACCTGGCAGCTCAGAGACAGGATATAAGCTTGGGTGTAAAAGACCTTTGGGTGTTGAGTGACTCAGCTAAATCAGTGTGTGTCAGATATGCCTACAAGGTGAGAGACACACAGGAGCATAAACACCTGTCTTGAGGAGGTTTTGAACAGAGACTGAATGCCAGCTAGTTGTGTCTTGTCAAGGAGGTGTCACGCACTGAGTAGAGGTTTACACCACGTCACTTGGCATCACCCAGAGATCCTGGGTGAGCTGATGAATGAAGAGCAATCCCTTTCCCAAGCATGTTACTGGAGAACAGCACTAACACCGCTGTGCCACTGCCAAGCTCCAAGGTAGCGGATAATCATGGGGCTATCTATACATGCAAAGCATCTCTTCTCAGTGCCTTTGGTAGCTCAGCACTGCACAGCACAGGCGCTGTCTAAAATTGGCTTTAGATTTTTGAGGATCATGCCTTAGGATTTGTCTGCCTGTGATCCATATTATGTTTTTAAGCATTTGAGAGGATCTGTGCTTAATGTAACTGTGCACAGAGCATCCCAAGTTTCATGACTTCTGAGGCTGCAGATGCGGTGTTGTGTTACAGGCAAAATTGAAACAATCCATGGCTTGAAAAATAACTATCTGAAAAATATGTCCTTCTGCTTTCTTATCTATAGGCCTGGGGTATGCATGGAGTTAGGTCATCCTGCTAAAGGAGAACACACCTCTGTTTGGCACATTTCTTTCCCTTTATCTATTTCTTGCTCCTGAGGAGAGAGAGCACAAAGTGAGCCACAGCTGCTCCTGCGCCAAGATTGGTTACCGATTAACCATATGGATTGTGGATTAGGAACAAAGTAATCCTTGTGAGTCAGGAATTCTTCACCCAGAGAGTGAACATGTGACCAGTGAGTATAAACTTTGTTCATAAAATGTTGCTGTCGTTCACTCATTCCTAATGCCACAACCATTACAATTGACACCTATAAAAGGAGTCTCCTTTACAGAGTATCTGCACAGTCCTCTTCAGAGATATTCAGGAGTAACACAGCTGTGTTAGCTGTAACTAACAGCCTCTCTTAATTAGTGTGCTGATGTTTCTTGAAAAACATTTTGGTTGTGATGTCTTTGAAAATGATCAGCTACCAGCTGTGAACATTAGAAGGCTGAGTACATGGAGGGGAAATAGTTTGCAGGAGAGCAGGTTTACTCCTACTAACACCTGGCTTCTTGGATAAATGTAAGCTTATTCATAACTCTGATAGTGGTTTTGCAGTAAAACTTAGTGGTGAGTTCAAACAAAACAAAAGACCTACTTGGAAAAGAGAAACCTGTATGGTCAGATACTCGATGCAGTGTGAAATAATCTGGACAGCTGAGGGTACCAACAATCTGAGTCAGATTTTTGCATACAGTTTTGCAACATCGTGAATTACCAGTGATCTCAGATGCTTAATTTCAGTGGAAAGGTAGAAAAAACCCACGAAACAATACAAAAGTTCAGCTTGCATTAAACTGCTGGATTCAGGAGGTTCTCTGCATTTAGAAATCTGTGTTCTGAAATGCTGCCTAAAATTGCCTAGATTTTTATGCATACTGGCATTACCTGCAAGCATTATAACACTGTGAGTATTGCCCCCACCACGAGGCTGGGGCCTCAGTGCGAGCAGACAGTGGCAATAAGATGTACAGCCATGATTTTCACATGTAAGTGGCCTAAGGGTTGTGGCAAGAAACATGGGTTGAGATGATTCTCTTAACATTCTGAGTAGGATTCAAGGACTTTGGAAAAATGCAGCAGAGCTAGTCTTCGAAGAAGCACTCTCAGACTTTGCTGAAGAGACAGGTCAGGTGGCAGTGCCGTGGGGAGCTTTAATCCATACCATTGGAAATCCTGTAAGACTAGATGTGGCCGAGATGAGCTGAAGCCACTTAAGAGTCTCTTGAAAATTTTACCTCTCATGATGAAGGCAGTAATTATGATCATTAAATATTGTTGTTAAATGTTGTTCTTCCCCCTAATAATGAGTCTCTTGAGTCTCAGACTAGTCAGTGGACATTTACAGTGGACAAAGGGAAACTATCACAGCTGCTCCTTTGTTTCATTCACTGTTGATTTGGGTGGTGTCCTCAAAAGGCTTCTGTGTCCATAAACTTCCATTTCTCTTGCAAAGCATATGGTTTCACCCACGCTGCCTGCCCAGCAGCCCTGTATCCAGGGATGCACTCCCCCCACAATATGCTGGAGCATGTGCTGCCAGATACGGTTATGGACCACAAGTGTGCCAGGAATCAGGCTAACATTTCAGCAGTATGGATGACTGCAAAACAGTGCACGAGCGTGGCACCTGGCCATATAGCTTACAGACAGAGCTATAGGGTTTATGATACCAGTAGTTCACCTTCATGCTTCCAGCACTGGGGAACAGAGCCTTTGTCAGCCAGCAGGGCAGTCCCAGCAGTGGCATCTGCACGCTGGATGCAGCAGCTCAGGGAGTACATAGTGCACCTGGCACATTAAATCCCTGTGGGCTCCTTACTCTCTTGTGCTTTAGAAAAGTGGAACAGCTGGAAGAGCTGGGGAAGGAGCTCCACAGGCCTCTAGCCAACATCATGGTGCTTTTAGCTGTACTGTTGCTCATCAGGTCTGCAGGAGACTGGGTCAGCTTCAGCAGAGACATCCCAAGCTAGGCACTTCTTCCTTTCCTCTTGGAACTTCATTCTCTGCTTAATTAATACATCAGCATTTGGGCCAGTCCCTAATTGCACGGCTCAGCAGTGTTGTCATTTTCCTGGCACAGGGCTCCAGTCAGTGCTGGCCAAGGCAGAAGAGGCAGGGAGGGCATAGAAGCATTGACTTCAGTAGACACCTCAGCAGGAGGTGTCTCTTGAAGCATAAGGCCAGAGTCACTAACCTGACTCATAACTCCTAATAACTCCTTAAGCCAGGGTGGTGAGATACCACTCTTCAAATTTGGTGCTTAGCTGTAGGTGACTATATGAAGCTTGCTCACATAGGCTCCTGCTGGGCACCAATAAGAAACCAGAGTTTGGGATAAGCTTAAGTTTTTTGTTGTGAAAGAAAACTGAGGAGCCTGGGAGGCTTGATCAATCAGTTCTGTCACTGGTGGTCAGGAGATAAAGACTTAACTCCTTGCAATTTGTTTCTTCATGCAAAGCAGAAGCCTTGGAAACTCAAGTAACATATAGAACAGCAAGTGGCTCTCTGTTGTGACAGGCCAGTTCTCTCAGCAAGAGCTCAAATAAAAGCAGGACAAAATGGAAAACTTAGAGTAGACAAAGGACATTAAATCACTCTTCTCAAATTTGGGATTTGGAGGGTCTTGGTTTTAAATACAAACCATGTCTAACACTCTTTAATTTACTTTTAACCTTTGGGGATTTTTAATTCTCTGAAATTTGCTACCCTTCCTTTCTTTTCCTGTCTTGGGAACTCTCCACTATGAAGCAAAAGATCCAAATCTGGGAACCTGTGCTTCAACACACCCTGAGTGTCTTGTTACATGAATGTTCCATGAAAAAAATGGAAACTATTTTGTGTCATTTTGCACATTTGGCCACTGCTTGTGCTGATGGCAGTGCCAACTTTTACTTCTCGCCAACTGAGAGCAGGAGGAGCTGGATGTTGAGGGCTCTCCCTTTTGTGAAGAACCTGTTTGCAGGACAACAAGAAATGCTCAGGTGAGCAGGATGGATTCCAACTGTGCCAAAGGTGGCAGCATGTTCAGGCCTCCCTCGGATGGCTGTGAGCCAGCAAGTCCCTGCAGTGGTTGGGAGTTGCACAAGTAGGTGCACAGATAATCTCTGCTCCAAAGGGGTCTTTGACCCGTGTTTCATCAGGTGCTGCTCTCTTGTACCACAGGCTGAAGACTTTTGGGGGTTTAACCTCCTGGTCAAGGTGAGTCCCATCAGATTAGGACACTGGCTTGTGATGAGGAGCTGTGTGAAGGCTCACCTGGAGCCTTCCCCTGTGTACCCTCTGCCCTGGCACCCACCTTTAAGGCCTGGCCTTGGCCCCAGCCCTTGTGTGGGCTGTGCTGGTGGCGTGCCATGCCTGGCCCTGTACCTCACTGATCCTGATGTGACTTCCTGGTGTGACCATGGGACCTGCCTCATCCCTGCAGCCTGGCCTGATGTTTGGCAGGCTCTGGCTGACCCTTTCACTGTTGCAGCATTTGCTCCGCTGTCCTTACGCAGCAGCAGTGGGGTGGTGTCACATTGGTGTGATGCCCACCTTGCCCCCAGCACCTGGAGTGCCTTCTCCTGCCAAGAGTCCCTACTCCACTGCTCCCCTGCACCTGGAAGGGGCACAGCACAGCTGAGAATTAAAGTCCAAGATTACACAGGGATGTTGCTGCTGCAGCATTTTCTCCAGTAGCAAGGCAGCATTTCATAGGAGTGGAAAACATAAACCCCCAGTCTGGTGCACGTGTTGGAAGACACGGACGGAAAAGAGGCATATGGAGGCACATGTGTTATCCAGTGCCTGTATGGGTTTAACTGTGTGCTGTGACATGATAATTACTCAATATTGAGACGTATTCAGGAGTTTTCATGAGTGGAGTTCAACTTAAACTCACCTGCTGCATGCAAACAAAGGCTTTCCTGGCTCAGCATAACCTTGCTCTTTTCTTTAATAACATGAGTTGGACTTACTGAGAGACTGCAGAATCTTCATTAGTGGGATTCATTGCCTTGTAATGTAAAGAGGAAAACAGTCCAACTTGGTCTGTGTTCTCATGTAACAAATCACATTCTCTCGCATGCATGAAATGCAGGAAAGCACCCAGTAATTTGTAGAGAAATGCTGCACTGTTTTCATGGGAAGGTGTTTTAAAGGTGTCTGGGAATTGCAGATGAGCAGTGTGAGAACTGATACAGGGAAAGGTGTGTTATTTGATACCACACCTTAAATGCACCTCTAGAACGTGCTTATGATTTTCACTGCCAAGAAACACTTTGTGTTCTTTGTATTAAAGAACTGTATTTATTCATATAAAGGCATATGGATGGTGCTAATTCATAAACGATAATCAATGTAATTAGGTATTATATTACATACATATATGTATTGGTTCAGGTACTTGCTACAAAAGTATGTGAAATTCATTGTGGATTTAAAAATATAAACTGAGGTGAAACAGGCCACCCACCTGCTGTATAAATTCCTTCTTGCAAGACAGCTTTACTCAGGGATGAGTCCAGATTAAAATATTCTCAGACAATCCCTTTGCACTCAAGTAGGCAGCATTGCTGTCCCAAACACAGATTTTGTGGGAATTCCCATCTGCCTCAACACTACAAGACAGAGGCGATGTGATTTATGTTCAAAGCAGTCCTTTAGACTTCTAGAGCTGCATCTCTGCTTGCTAACACTCCATGTTAGGCAGGTATGTTTCTGCTGCAGGTGTGGGATAAACCCTTCTGTGTGCTTGGAAACAGTGGCCTGGAAGCACCCATCTGTGTTCTGAATCAAACCAGCTGAAATACCCTCAGCACATGTTCTGTTTTCACTCGTGCTGGGAAACGAGTGAAACTCACTGGGAAACGAGAACTGATTCTTGGTTTTCACTGGGTGCTTCTCTGCCCAATGACTGCATCAAACTTGATATCAGTCATCTTCTTCAGAACATTCAGGGCACGTTCTGGAAACACCCTGAAAGAGATAATAACATGAAATTAAGCATGGGATAAGAAAAACTTAAATGATAGGAACAAGTGGCACTGCAGGTGAGGGAAGAGCTGGTCTGGGAGCAGAATGCGTGCACAGACACGGACTAAGTCTTAAACTTGGCATTATTTCCAAAGCATATGTAGTCCTCACCAATCTCCAATTAGTTTTACCTCCAATCCCACCCATCTCCTTTTATTGACAATTACGGGACAGTTATGTACTGGACATGATTTTGGTTGCAATGTTGCTGCAGAATCCAGGAACTTTTCTTATTGAACACAGACATATACATTTGCTTTCTCTTTGCTTTCAAAATGTTATCCGGTTAATCTGAAAATTCTTGAGAAGGAAAAAAAAAAAAACCAGTCCCAAACATCTTTACACTTCCTCATAGAAAGAAATTTAGAGTTAGGCCCAAGTTTGCTGGCTTTCACAGACAATAAATTACTAAGAGTTTCATGAGATACTGTAGAAGGTAACTGAAAACTAATTTAGTTGTTCTGATGTTAATTCTAGGTTTGGAACCTGAGCTCTAATGAAAGCACCTCCTCAGCAGAGTGGCTACACTGGATATTAAAGAGGTGTTAGATGACAAATCTTGCTTTACATGGCAAAGCTAAGCAGAAGAGATATTTTAAAGCAATTTTCCAGCCTCAGTGGCCTCAAGTCTTTGGTGTTGATATGAAGAAACAAACATTAGTAAGCAGCAGGTCCTCAGCTCTTTCTGGAACTACGCTGGGGGTGCTGTTTCAGAGGCTGTGGTATTTCCAGAAGGCAAATAGCAATCTGTGAAGAAAAACTATTCTCTTGTTCTCCCTCTCCTTCCCTACTGGCCTGCAGAGCAGTTGAGCTCTCCACTGAGAACAGTTATCTGCAGCAAGTGGATTAGAAGGACCTATGAGAGGGCTCAAAAAAATAACTGTGTATGACATCTTTTGTTGTCGCTAGGAAGAACCACTGCATTACTAGTAATAATACTATGATAATACACACACACCTTGTGATGTGTTCTAAAATAATTGAATCAGATTTTACAAGTTTCAGGGTGGTGCACTCTGCAAGTTATAGTTGATGATTGTTGATACATTTATTTTTTTCTACTTACCTTTCAAGGAGTAAAGCGACCCTCTGATTTGATGGAACAAAAACCATTTTCTGGTTGGTCACTATTCCTTCCATCAGAGCCTCTACAACTTCTTCAATCTCCAAAATCTTTCCAAGCCTGAAAAGGAAAGCACACACGTAAGAGCTGTGGTGGTAGAAAGGGGTGGTACAACCTTCACAAGGATGCTTCACATATGCACAAACTCAGGGAATTCAAATGCAACCATTATGTGGGTTAAAGGACACTTCTTTAGACAATTATACACACTGCTATTATACACTCAGTTGGAATAGAAGGCCTGAAGCTGGGGATATTATGCAGTGCCTTGGTGCAAAGAAGGAAGGACAGGAAGGCGGAGCATTGAGTTACCTGGTACTGGGGTTTTTGACAAATCCAGTGTTTATGAAAACAGGACAAAGGCACGTGGTCTTTATTCCATCCTTTCCCAGGGTAGACAGCTCCTCTGTCAGAGCCTTATGAAATCCAACTGCAGCAAACTTGCTCGAGCTGCGGGAGAGGAAAAAGCACAAATTAGAAGCTGTTTATAGTGTTTGTAACTCTCTACAACTGCAGATGGCCTAAATAATCATACAGTACAGGCTAGGAGGCAAAAAAAACAAATAATGTAATCCAGCTGAGAGACAGGGCAGGGACTAATTCTAACTTCCTCTGTGCCAGGCTGTAGTGCTGGATTAAATATTGCTGCTTTGATGAGTAATTATGGAAAGCAGACAGGCCATGAACAGATAGACAAACCAGACAGACAAACATCAGGAAATCTTAGAAAAAACAGTAACTAATCTGCATCAACCAATGGGCATCCCATTTTTCCCATGCAATAAAATTCTTGGAAGGAGTGCAGCCTGAAACTCTAAAATTAAGAACTATGGGCAGTTTAGAAATTAAGATTAACCTTCTACTGTTTCTTGTAGCACACAGGGTCATTCTCATAACAGTTGTTTGTGACTTTTAAATTATGTAAGCAAAACCGAGGAACAACCTGCTACAGAAATAGGTGTGTTCCTCTAGTTTAAGTCAAGTCCAAAGAAAATAGAAAAGAGAAGACTGCTGCACCTGGAGCTGCTGCTATGGAGGGCTAGATGTGGTGCAGAATGACAATATGCAATATAACAGGTTTTCTGTGTATGCACTGTGATTTTCTTGGCATGTTTCAGGTAGAAAAGCAGTTTTATGTCATGATGGTAGAAGTATTTCTGTACACTACAGTCACTGCCACAAAGGTAAAAAGACCAAAAGCTACTGATTACGGGTTTACTTGACAACACTACAACCACTCACAGAATCATTATGTTCTAAGGAGAAGGGAGAAGGATACCTGATTTGCTAGGCAAAAGTCTGGATCGGTAAGGGAGAGAAAATAGAAGAGGCTTTCATTAGTTGATGTGTCACAATACTATTCTTTCATACAAGCATTGCTCCTGATTCAGTCAGAGCTAATAACTAATAGGTAGGAACCTCCAGCCATCCTCAGACTGTTGTGCTTTCTTCCTCCTTAGCGCAGTCATTTGTCCGTACTGCATTCAGTGGGAGGATTATTTCAGTTACGTGGTAATTTATGATGCAGAAGACACAATTGAAAATAATGCAAAAATGAAGAGAGCTGACTAAAAAAATCACTTACCAATAAGCCACCATGAAAGAAGTCACAAAATGACCTGCTGCCGAAGCCACCGTGACAATGTGCCCATAGTTGTTGTTCATCATGGCTGGCAGAAAAGCTCTCGTCGTCTTCAAAGTCAAGAACCACAAATGCAGGGGGCGGGAAGGAAGAGAAGAACAATGTTTTCTTGGGCATATTCAGCACTGACCCTGAATATCAGCCATTAAGAGACTAAGGCTTGGTGCTGCACAGCACCTCACATTCTGAGAGCCACAGGGATACCTGTTCTCTGATCAGCTGGCAACCTGCTCTGCACATGTTTCAGGAAGTCAGCTATAAACCTGAGAACAGTTATCTGCAGCAAGTGGATTAGAAGGACCTATGAGAGGGCTCAAAAAAATAACTGTGTATGACATCTTTTGTTGTCGCTAGGAAGAACCACTGCATTACTAGTAATAATACTATGATAATACACACACACCTTGTGATGTGTTCTAAAATAATTGAATCAGATTTTACAAGTTTCAGGGTGGTGCACTCTACAAGTTATAGTTGATGATTGTTGATACATTTATTTTTTTCTACTTACCTTTCAAGGAGTAAAGCGACCCTCTGATTTGATGGAACAAAAACCATTTTCTGGTTGGTCACTATTCCTTCCATCAGAGCCTCTACAACTTCTTCAATCTCCAAAATCTTTCCAAGCCTGAAAAGGAAAGCACACACGTAAGAGCTGTGGTGGTAGAAAGGGGTGGTACAACCTTCACAAGGATGCTTCACATATGCACAAACTCAGGGAATTCAAATGCAACCATTATGTGGGTTAAAGGACACTTCTTTAGACAATTATACACACTGCTATTATACACTCAGTTGGAATAAAAGTCCTGAAGCTGGGCACATTATGCAGTGCCTTGGTGCAAAGAAGGAAGGACAGGAAGGCAGAGCATTGAGTTACCTGGTACGGGGGTTTTTGACAAAGCCAGTGTTTATGAAAACAGGACAAAGGCACGTGGTCTTTATTCCATCCTTTCCCAGGGTAGACAGCTCCTCTGTCAGAGCCTTATGAAATCCAACTGCAGCAAACTTGCTCGAGCTGCGGGAGAGGAAAAAGCACAAATTAGAAGCTGTTTATAGTGTTTGTAACTCTCTACAACTACAAATGGCCTAAATAATCATACACTACAGGCTAGGAGGCAAAAAAAACCCAAATAATGTAATCCAGCTGAGAGACAGGGTAGGGACTAATTCTAACTTTCCCTGTGCCAGGCTGTAGTGCTGGATAAAATATTGCTGCTTTGGTGAGTAATTATGGAAAGCAGACAGGCCATGAACAGATAGACAAACCAGACAGACAAACATCAGGAAATCTTAGAAAAACAGTAACTAATCTGCATCAACCAATGGGCATCCCATTTTTCCCATGCAATAAAATTCTTGGAAGGAGTGCAGCCTGAAACTCTAAAATTAAGAACTATGGGCAGTTTAGAAATTAAGATTAACCTTCTACTGTTTCTTGTAGCACACAGGGTCATTTCATAACAGTTGTTTGTGACTTTTAAATTATGTAAGCAAAACCGAGGAACAACCTGCTACAGAAATAGGTGTGTTCCTCTAGTTTAAGACTGCTGCACCTGGAGCTGCTGCTATAGAGGGCTAGATGTGGTGCAGAATGACAATATGCAATATAACAGGTTTTCTGTGTATGCACTGTGATTTTCTTGGCATGTTTCAGGTAGAAAAGCAGTTTTATGTCATGATGGTAGAAGTATTTCTGTACACTACAGTCACTGCCACAAAGGTAAAAAGACCAAAAGCTACTGATTACGGGTTTACTTGACAACACTACAACCACTCACAGAATCATTATGTTCTAAGGAGAAGGGAGAAGGATACCTGATTTGCTAGGCAAAAGTCTGGATCGGTAAGGGAGAGAAAATAGAAGAGGCTTTCATTAGTTGATGTGTCACAATACTATTCTTTCATACAAGCATTGCTCCTGATTCAGTCAGAGCTAATAACTAATAGGTAGGAACCTCCAGCCATCCTCAGACTGTTGTGCTTTCTTCCTCCTTAGCGCAGTCATTTGTCCGTACTGCATTCAGTGGGAGGATTATTTCAGTTACGTGGTAATTTATGATGCAGAAGACACAATTGAAAATAATGCAAAAATGAAGAGAGCTGATTTAAAAGTCACTTACCAATAAGCCACCATGAAAGAAGTCACAAAATGACCTGCTGCCGAAGCCACCGTGACAATGTGCCCATAGTTGTTGTTCATCATGGCTGGCAGAAAAGCTCTTGTCGTCTTCAAAGTCAAGAGCCACAAATGCAGGGAGCAGGAAGGGAGAGAAGAACAATGTTTTCTTGGGCATATTCAGCACTGACCCTGAATATCAGCCATTAAGAGACTAAGGCTTGGTGCTGCACAGCACCTCACATTCTGAGAGCCACAGGGATACCTGTTCTCTGATCAGCTGGCAACCTGCTCTGCACATGTTTCAGGAAGTCACCTATAAACAGGATTCCATTTTCATGTCTTTCCTCTGCTGCTTTTTAGGTTTCAGGTGTCACTGGCACTGCTGAGAGTGTCTCACCCCCAGCATATGCAATAAAACACTTGTAAACCCGCAACTTCTCTTCAGCTGCAAACAAATATTGCTTTCACAGCTGAAACCCTCCCACTCTCTAAGCCCCTCTACAGCTCTGACAGATGCTGCACATGAGGCTGCCACCAGCTTGCTCAGATCAGCAAGAGGCTGCTCAAGTTTCCCGACACACAGTCTGCTTGGGTGTCCCTGTGCTGTACACATCTAAAAGACACGTGGGTAATTCACTGGTAATAAGGGTTACTTTAAATAGGTCTCCTCAACAGTGCTCCCCAAAAATGGAGGTATGGAGATGGCAGTGGCCCTTACCCACATGTGAGCAAGGATGTTGACTTCAAACATTCTTTCTATCTGGTGGTCCTGAGTTGAGAGCAGGTCGGCAGCTGTGATCACACCAGCGTTGTTCACCAGGATGGTCACATCCCCAATTTCCTTTTTCACCTTTTGGAGACAAAAAAAAGGCCCAGAAGCGTGTCTGTCATTCATTATAATAACAAAACAAATAAAAAATGCAAGGCTGCAGAAGATGAGCAGTAATTCATTTAGTTCTTAACATTGTCTCCTTTAGGGAGAGGAAGATCATAGTACCTCTCCAGATGCAGAAGAAACTGTGCAGTAATTACCATGAGATCTGGTTTAGATCAGATTCTTTTCCCTTAAATAATTACTGCCAAAATGGATTGCCTTCCATACACTGTACACAGACACAGTTTGGACTGAGTAGTCACAGCTGAAACTATGGAGGTACAGACAGTTTTGAGCCAGCTGGACCATAACCTTTACAATAAAATGTTTCATATGTCCTCAGTGCTGTCCGTGTTTCTTCAGAGGCTGGAACTCTCCAGAGCAAACTTGGCAATCAGGAGTAATACCCTGGAGCCTCACTAAAGGGTGTTACCTCAGAAGTGCCTCATCACTCTGTGTACAGAGAGCAGCAAGGAGCAGGGAGGTTCCAAGGCCTTGCATGATTTGTGTGCAATGCCTCTTCTTCAGTTTTCCTGACTTTTCTGGAAATTTAGTGCGTTTGGGTGAGCCTCTGTCCGTGCCCCTGCTGCCCTACCTTGTCTGCAGCGCTGTAGATCTCCTCCCGTTTGCTGCAGTCCACCACGAAGGCTTCAACAGTGGCCCCCAGATTCTTGCATTCTGCTGCCGTCTCCTCAACGCCGTGCTGGAAGGGGCAGAGAAGAAAGACATCCATGCACAACTGTCCCCTGCTGAAGATGTCTCTTAACTGTGTAACCACTGCCAGGCGCCTGAGCGGTTCACAGCCACCCAGGGATAGAGCTGTAGGTGGGATCTTTAGGAGGACGGGTATTCTGGCCCTAAATTTCGGACTTGTGTATACCGACTACCAAAAAGGAAATAACAGAATTACAGAATGACTTGGGTTGGAAGGGACCTTAAAGATCACCTTGTTCCAACCTCCCTGCCATGGGCAGAGACACCTTTCACTAGACCAGGTTGCTCAGAGCTCCATCCAGCGTGGGCTCAAACACTTTTAGGGATGGGGCATCCACAGCTTTTCTGGGCAACCTGTTCCCCTGCCTCACCACCCTCATAGTACAGAATTTCCTGCTAATCTCTTATCTAAACCTACTCTCTCTCAGTTTGAAGCCATCCCCCTTGTCCTCTCACTACATGATCTTGTAAATCATCGTGCTCCATCTCATCTTTTTCTAGGCTCCCTTTAGGTACTGGAAGGCCACAATTAGGTCACTCCAAAGCTCTCTCTTGTCCAGGCTGAACAACCGCAATTCTCTTAGCCTTAGGAGTGTGGCAACAAGAGTGAGTTTGCCTTGGTAAGGCACACATAACGAGGCAGAAAGTGGGCACGCAGTGCCTATCACAGCACAGCAGGCAGACACTGCGAGTGTAGACAGAGTTCTTCAAACACGGCCTGTCTGACACCCAAGATATGAAAAGTTTTATGTGTGAGAGGCTTTATGTGTTTCTGTATTCACAGACTGGGTGTGAGGAGAGAGGTGCCCTCCACAGTTGTATTGGGTCTGGCTGAGATGCAGTTCATTTCCCCATAGCAGCCTCACAGTGCTGTGCTTTGCATTGCTAGCTAGAAGGGTGTTGATAACACACCAGTGTTTTTTGGCTACTGCTGAGCTGCACTGGCACAGCATCAGCACTGTCTGTCCAACATTCCCCTCCCATCAGTAGGCGGAGGGTGGATGAGATCCTGGGAGGGGACACAACTAGGACAGCTGGCCCAAACTGACCAAAGGAATATTCCATACCACGTGATGTCAGCTCAGATATAACAGCTAAGAAAAGAGGAGTGGGGGAATATCCAATTTTTATGACATTTGTCTTATGAAGCAACTGCTACATGTGCTGAAGCCCTGCTCCCCAGGACGTGGGCGGACATTGCCTGCAGATGGGAAGCAGAGAACAAAATACTTTTCTTTCTCTTTGCTTGCTTGTGCACAAAATTTCACCTTTGCTTTAGTAAACTGCCTTATCTCAGCCTACAAGTCATTTTCCATCTTATTTTCTCTGCCCAGGGCAGCTGAAAAGGGGGAGTGGCTGGGTGGGCACCTGACGTCCAGCCAGGGTCAAACCCACCACACCACTGCACAGTGTAGAAAGACATTTCTTATGGAATGGCATTTGATGCACACAGAACAGAAGCTCACCTATCAACCCACTAAGCCAGGGCACAAGTGACTTGGGTGTAGCCTTGTCCCCAGCAGCCAGAAAGCCATGCCAGTGGTGGCCTGTGCAATGAAAAGCCCCAGGTCACAAAGAGCTTGGGAAAGCTCAGCACTTGAGAGAAACTGTGCAGGTCCCTGCAGTGGGTGACTGGGCAGCTGCCCTCAGTCCCAGCTGCTGCTTGAGGCTGAGAGCCCCCAGGAAGGAAGCCTTTGTCTCTGTAGTTGGATCCTCCAGGATCCACCATCCCTTTGATATCGTATTTCAGTTGCTCTATACACTCACCCTTACAATCTATTTCCCAGCACCAAAGCCAGGTGCTGCTCGTGACTAAGTTTATTTCTTAATCCCCGCTTGCATCCAGCAAACATGGACAATGTTCTACTTCTCTGCAGCCCTGTACACATCGGGAGAGCAGTGCAGTGCCTCGTCCAACCCTCCAGTGTCTGGTCTTAGCTATAATGGGCAGCATGAACAGACACTGAAAATGTTCTACAGTATCTTCCCTGTTTATACATCCCCTTATCCTCAGCTTGGTTTGGATTTTGTGGCGTTTTCTTTGTTTGAGGTGGGCTGCGTTTTGTTTTGCAGCTTCATGATGACAGGATGAACTCCTCTCCTGACTCACTGTGTCAGAAACCTTTCCCACTCTCAGCTGTCCACCCTCCCTGTACAGCTGGTTGCACCTACACACACTTGGCCTTGACCCCTACTGACTGCCAAGCTGCATGTTTGTACCTGTCCATCCTCCACTTGCCAAGGCCTTTTTGCATTCCAGTCAGATTATCTGAAACAGTTGGGGCCACTATGAACATCCTGCAAGGAGCCATCTACACTTGCAGCTGTCCCAGAGGGCAGCAGGGCTCACACACAGCTCAGCACAGCAATGCTGTTGATATGAGTAAAGAGAAAACACACCTTGCAGCAATATGTGCAAAATGCCTGAGGCCAGACAGACCCAGCAGAGGCAAACCTGCTCCTCTGGGGAACCAGGCTGCTGCTCTCAGCCTGCTCTGCCCGCCAGCCCGGGCAGCGCTGCCAACAGCAGCTCTCCGAGCGCTTCCTTCCCTCTCGCAGGGACTCTGCCAGGCGGTGCCTGCTCCCTCGCTGAGCGCCACCGAGGAACTGTGGGGACCCAGAGCCCTCCATCCGCCGCTGCCAGCGGGGACAAACCCTCTCCTGGCGCTCAGCGTCCCAGCCAGAGGCGGCCGTGAGCCGACGGCAGCGGAGGGGGGAAGGAGCTGCTGTGGATGCAGTGTGGTGATGCCCCTCTTACGCTCTCGAACCCCGCGGGGCTCGGAGGCGAAGGAGTGAGGACACGGGCTGTGCCATTACCTTGCTGATGTCCCAGAGGACCAGCCTGCTCTGGCGCTTGGCGAACTCGAGGGCGGTCGCTCTGCCGACGCCATGGCCAGCACCCGTGATGAGCACAAGCTCTCCGCTGACAGACTTCCTCCTCACGGGGACAAACAGCTTCACGAAAGCCTCCAGGTAGGAGTAGGCGAGCGTGCCCAGGAACAGGAAGGTTTCCACCAACAGATTCATTGCTTTTTTCCCGAGGGTCCTTTGATGGCCGAACTGAACTTTAGTCTCTTTTGACGAGGGCGTGAGTTGTTGATTTACCAGCTGCCCGCGGCAGTCCCAAGAGTTCACCGCTCGTCCTGTCAGCTCCCGGCAGGATCCACCCCTGCGCCTGGGGGCGGGAGCCTGGGGGGCTGCTCCGCCCAGCCCCGCCGGAGCCCTCCGTGCCCGGTGCCCTTTTGCTGGCACTGCGTGAGTGGTTCTTGTTCTTATTTGTCGTCTGCAGCAGGTGCAGGAGGGACACAATTGGCAACAAATGTGCTCATCCAGTTACTGGCAAAAGCATCTCGAAGTTCCCCTCAACTCTGTGTTGTGTGTCTCAAAATCTGCTTTGCGACTGTGCACTTGCTCAGTTCCGTGAATCCCTTGAGTGGTTTTCTCCGTGGTTCTTCCTTCCATGATGTATCTGTGCACTGTCAGCAGACTTTGTCCCATACCTTCGTCTTCCTGGTCATTTAAAGAAAGCTGAATGAGACAAGTCCGTTGAACTTGTGGAACTCCACAGGTGAGCTCTTGCCTGGCTACTCTCTTTTTTTCTGCCTTCTACCTAGTGATTCATACTCAGACCTTCCATCTTATGCTATGGCTGCCTAGTTTCCTCAAGTCCTTTGGAAAACGGCATTGACTGCATGAATTGGGTCATCCTTATCTAATTGAGTCTAAATCACACAACTTGCTTGTGTGTAAGGGAGTATTCAGAACCTTAACCAGAACAGGAGTGCTTATAGGAAATAGAAGAAAAGTGGTTTCAGGGTTTTTTTTCTGGCTCCAACAATGTAACTGCATGGTCTTACCTGAAAAGGATTGCTGACCTTACTCCTTTGCTTTTCAGTTAGAAAACTAGATGCATCACAGTCATGTTCATTGTTTTATTTAAGCATATTTTTGAGCTGCTTGGGGAAGAGTGAGGGTTTCATGAATATCTGCCAACTGACCAAAATCAGACTCCATTTAAGATATTACTTCTTGAAAAGTATTGGTTTTGCCCTGGTGGTTTGGATGCGTTGTTGCTAACCTTGTCTGTGAGAGACAGGGGCAGCTCCAGCAGAGACATTCCAAGCTAGGCACTTCCTCCTTCTCTCTTGGACATTCATTCTCTGCTTAATTAACACATCAGCATTTGGGCCAGTCCCTAATTGCACAGCTCAGCGGTGCTGTCATTTTTCTGGCACAGGGCTCCAGTCAGTGCCATGGCCAAAACAGGGGAGGCAGGCAGGGCATAGAACCATTGTCTCTAAGAGACACCTCAGCAGGAGGCAGAGCACAAGGCCAGAGTCACCAGCCTGACTCGTAATGACTCCTAAGCCAGGGTGTGAGATACCGCTCTTCAAATTTGGGACTTGGCTGTAGATGGCTCTATGAAGCTTGCTCACATAGGCTCCTGCTGGGCACCAATAGTGACCAGACTATGGGATAAGTGTCTGTTGACTGCTGTGGCCAGAAAGAGAACTGAGAAGCCTGGGAGGCTTGATGAATCAATTCTGTCACTGGTGTTCAGGAGATGAAGGCTTAACTCCTTGCTTTTGCACAAGTTTCTTTACTCCAAGCACAAGACTTGCAGCCATAGGAGACACAGAGAAGAGCTGTAGCCACATATGAAGTACTGCACAAGCTGCCTTGCCCAGTGATTCCTCTGGGCTCTGAGAGACTGGACTAGATCTGGCAAAACAGGAGTGAACACAGTCTCCCTTTTCCTAGGATCAAGTATGCTGAGAAACACACTCTGCAGGAGAGTGCTGTCTGTCATTCCCTAGATGGATTTCTGTCTTCCAATTTAATGCTGCCGTGAGAATCTGAATAATGTGCAAGGCTAGTGCAAATGGTGTGCCAGGAGAAGCCAAATATCTTGTCTTATGTGTCCTACTGAAGGCAGTATGACAAGAGGGCCTAATCATTGGGATGCTGACTTGTCTATCTTAGGGGTCTTTTTGAGCGTTTTCTTTGGACTCACTAGACCATATTGTACCCTCTTCTGAAGAACCTGTTTGCAGGACAACAAGAAATGCTCAGGTGAGCAGGATGGATTCCAACTGCGCCAAAGGTGGCAGCATATTCAGGCCTCCCTCGGATGGCTGCGAGCCAGCAAGTCCCTGCAGTGGTTGGGAGTTGCACAAGTAGGTGCACAGATAATCTCTGCTCCAAAGGGGTCTTTGACCCGTGTTTCATCAGGTGCTGCTCTCTTGTACCACAGGCTGAAGACCTTTGGGGGTTTAACCTCCTGGTCAAGGTGGGTCCCATCAGATTAGGACACTGGCTTGTGATGAGGAGCTGTGTGAAGGCTCACCTGGAGCCTTCCCCTGTGTACCCTCTGCCCTGGCACCCACCTTTAAGGACTGGCCTTGGCCCCAGCCCTTGTGTGGGCTGTGCTGGTGGCGTGCCATGCCTGGCCCTGTACCTCACTGATCCTGATGTGACTTCCTGGTGTGACCATGGGACCTGCCTCATCCCTGCAGCCTGGCCTGATGTTTGGCAGGCTCTGGCTGACCCTTTCACTGTTGCAGCATTTGCTCCGCTGTCTTTTCTTGGACCTAGTTCCTGTCTTCATTGCTGAGAGACACCTTTGGGTTAGAAAAATGTATTTATATCAAATAAGGAGTGTTGATGGTGCTAAGGCATAATTGATAATCGATGTAATTAGGCATTACATTACAAACAAGGCTGTATTATTTCAGTAATACAAATAATTAAAATAACTCCATAATACACATTACAAATGCACATGAAACTGTAAGTGTTCATTAGAGAACTTTTTTTTACATTTAAAAATATAAATTGAGGTGAAACAGGACACCCACCTGCTGTATAAATTTTTTCTTGCAAGATGCTTTTGCTCAGGGATGAGTCCACGTTAACATATTTTCAGGCAATCCCTTTGCACTCAAGAAGGCAGCATTTCTTTCCCAAATACAGGCTTTGTGGGAATTCCTGTCTGCCTCAACACTACAAGACAGAGGCGATGTGACATACAGTCAAAGCAGCCTTTATAGAGCTGCATCTCTACTTTGCTAACATTTCATATTATGCAGGTATGTTCCTGCTGCAGGTGTGGGATAAACCCTTCTGTGTGCTCAGAAACAGTGGCCTGGAAGCACCTGTCCTAGTTCTGTATCTAACCAGCTGAACTACCCTCAGCAAATGTTCTGTTTTCACTGCGAAACAAGAATCAATACTTGGCTTTCACTGGGTGCTTCTCTGCCCAATGATTGCATCAAACTTTGGAACAGTGAGCTTCTTCAGGACATTCAGGGCGCGTTCTGGAAACACCCTGAAAGAGATAATAACATGAAATTAAGCATACGATGGAAAATTAAATTTTGGGAAAAAGTGGCACTGCAGGTGAGGGAAGAGCTGGTCTGGGAGCAGAATGCATGCACAGACATGGACTGAGAGTAAGTCCTAAACTGGGCATTATTTCCAAAGAACACATAGCTCTCCTCAATCTCTGACTAATTAAACTCCAGTCCCCGCCAAGTCCTGTTAGGACAGTTCCAATACTGGGTATCTACTGGGCAGTATTTGGGTTGCAAGATTGCTGCAGGACCCAGGAAGGCTCAATACTGTACAGATATAGGTGTGCATTACACGTTTCATGCTCTGAAAAGCAGCAGGCCTAAGGAAGGATGAGATGTTAAAACTGAGGTGCAGTTTCCTCTCCTAGGATTCTTTCTTTTTAGAGTTGTATCTCTTTATCCCCCTGTCCCAAATTAAGACAAAAAAGCAAAGTTATCCTAAGGGCTTTGACAGCATTAGTTTTGACTTGTCTATGCTTCTGCAGACTTGCACTGTCAACAGGCAGCTCTTGGAGATGTAAACAACTGAAAAACTTTTTCCAACTGTCTGGTGTTGGGTTCTGCAAACAAGATATTACCAAGTGTTTCACAAAATACTGCAGGAGTTAACTGAAAAGTTAGCTTAGTTGTTGTGATGTGAATTACAGATTTGGAACTGGAGCTCTGATAACAACACCTCCTCAGCAGAGCAGCTACACTGGATATTAAAGATGTATGAGAGGACAAATCTTGCTTTACATGGCAAATAGCAGTAGAGCCTTTTTGAAGAGAAGTCCCCAGCCCCCATGACCTCAATCTTTGGTGCTGACATGAAGAAACAAACACTAATAAGCAGCAAGTCCTCAGCTCTTTCTGGAACAATGCTGATTCAGAGAAAATGTTGTTTGCAAGCCCAAGGAAAATAATGATTTGTGAGGAAAGCTGTTGTCCTGCTCTCCCTCTCCTTCCTTATTGGCCTGTAGAGCAGTTGAGCTCTCCACTGAGAACAGTTATCTGCAGCAAGTGGATTAGAAGGACCTAATGGATGAGAGGGCTCAAAAAAATCTTTGTGTGTGTTCTCATTAGAAAGAACCACTGCTATTTCATTACCTTGTGATGTGTTCTCATACTAAAATATTTTAGATGGCTAGTTGTTTAATACATAATACTGTCTCCTGCAGACAATTACACATTATCTAGACACTACAGGCATATGGATGTCAAATCTGGATTAATAAGTATAACAATGTCCAATACTGAATATAAAATAAATTACACTGGGCTGAATGTAAACTGCTTCTCTCCAGCTGTCATTTCAGGGTTTCTCTATACTGCCAAACTATATCTTTTACTACCATGAGTGCAAAATGCAGTTTCCCATAAAATTAAATTAATCTTGATTCAGATGTCACAAGTTTGAACCTCATATACTCAGGTAATAAGCATTGTTGCTTCCACCCCCATTTTTTTGTTTTCTTTTGCTACTTACATTTCAGAAAGCAAAGCAATGTTTAGCTGGGGCGGAACAAAAACCATTTTCTGGTTGGTCACTATTCCTTCCATCAGAGCCTCTACAACTTCTTCAATCTCCAAAATCTTTCCAAGCCTGAAAAGGAAAGCACACACATAAGAGCTGTGGTGGTAGAAAGGGGTGGTACAACCTTCACAAGGATGCTTCACATATGCACAAACTCAGGGAATTCAAATGCAACCATTATGTGGGTTAAAGGACACTTCTTTAGACAATTATACACATTGCTATTATACACTCAGTTGGAATAGAAGG